TAAGGAATATGGAGGAGGTACGTGTCCTCTCGGTCGCCTTGACCAATCACAGATCAGCCCGACTAACGGTCGCTTTGATCCGTTACAGATCAGCTCGAAAGTACCCCTTTCTATTATGATAGGGGCGGATGGTAGGGCTAGAACAGGCATAATCGCTTGAACGGCTAGAAGTGGGCCGACTATCTTCCATATAAAAATGTAATATAAAAAAAATAAATAATAAAAAAAATAATTTAATCTATTTATTTTTTATTTCTATTTTTAGAATTTATTATATATATAAATAGAAATTTATATATTATTATTATAAGAATAAAAGAATATTTATATTTTAAAATAATAAATATATTATTGAGGCGGCGGATCGGTTGAAATAAAGATCGGGCTATTCGGGATCGGCTAGGTGATCGACTCCTTYCTTTCCATCCCCTCCCTCTGATGGTGAAACCGTGATATGTCAGCCAGCCATGGACTGCTGGCTGCCTTTATGATAGSTAGTAGGCATCGGATCAAAGGGGAATTGAACAGAGTATCGCTCTATCACATCGGGTGGATAGGTACGGATTAACAGCTGAACGTGGGGATCACGGCAAAGAAATGCCCTTCCCTGCCATCTCTGCCGGCCGAGTGCAGCGAAGGTTCATTCATCAGTAGTAGTAGTAGCTAATTCAAAGGCTGAAAGGGATCTGTTCGAACCAGCGAAGAAACAAGCAACTCCATGAGCGCCTAGCCTAACCGAACAAGCAACTCCATGAGCGCTGACGCGCGAAAGCCGTTGCTTGTTGCTAGCAGCAAGAAAACGGCTGCGCGTTAGCGCCGCGCTAGCACTCATGGAGTTGCTTGTTGCGCATCCGTTTTTCATCATGCTTCGTGCGCTTGAGCGCATGTAGTTTTCTTCGCCGGAGTGCGCAGGAGCGCCCTGTAGTTTTCTCGCTTGTTGCAACGGCTTGAGCGCGAGGCGCTCATCCGTTGCTTGTTCGGTTAGGCGTTAGCGCTCAAGCAAGTTCAGGCGCCCTAGCCCTTCACTTGCTCCGTAGCTTGCTGCCTACGTTTGCTGCTTTCGACCCTCCGTTTGCACCGTTTGCTGGGTAGGGGAGACAGGGTTACGCGCTGGGTAGTGCAGCGCATCTGTTTCGGGTACAGAGACGACGAGGCGGCCACCCAACCCAGCAGGGCAGGGGCGGGCCGGCCATAGGTTCGAATCCTGCCACCTTGATTGTGGATCATCCTGTGGTTACCGGATGATGGGAAAGCAGAAATTTTKAAATGAGCACGAAATGTCAATAAATGAATTGTCTCATTATTCGTTATTTCCGGGTCTTTTCGTTGCATTCACTTACAACAAGAAACAACCACCAGCGTTTGGTGCAGCACCTGCATTTTGGTGCATTCTTC